ATAAAGAAGAAGGAAGGAGAGGAAGGAAAGAAGGAAGAAAGAATGAAAGAAAAAAGAAGAAAAAGGAAGGAAGGAAGGAAGGAAACGGCAGGCAGGCAAGCACAATGTGTCTGCAATGGGGTGAATTGGGAGGGAGGGGGAGAAAAGATGGGGAAGAGGTCAGGGTGGGAGTGACTTCAGGTAGGGTCTTGCCAGCCGCGGGAACGGAGGAGCGAACGTGGGCGCCGTGTCCACCAGAGGGCGCAATGTATCCCTGCCCATCGTCTCCGAGAACTACATCTCCCAGCGGCCCTCGGAGTGCGCGGCCCTTCTCAAGCGAGCGCTGAGGCTCAGAGGCCGCTGGGACTTGTAGTTGGGACAGTGAGCCGCTGGAGGAGGCCAAGTAACTCATTCCCAGGTCTTGAAAAAGTGTGGAGCTGGGTCCTTTCCTCCTTCCTTGGTTTCCATGGCGATGGTTTCGGCAAAGGCCCAGGTTTTGGCAGCGGCGGGGCCCGCTTCCCACTCCCTCCTCTTCACCATCTGCTCCACCCTCACACCTGGCCCCGAGCCGCAACCACCGCCTCCGCACCCCGGCCGGGAACTCTGCAGCCACTGGGTGGCGCGTGTGAGCGGCTCCCGCGCTGGTACTTCACCCCACGAGTCCCGGTTCCTACCTCCGTTCTGCCTCAGACCCGCAGCGTCCTTCGTTCTGGGGTCCCAGGGGTTTCTCAAAACTGTGAGACCCAGAGACCCAGCCAGTCAAGGCTGGAAGCGAGAGGCTGCGGCGGTCAGTGGCTTCCCGGCCACCCAGTACTTGGCGCCCGCCCGCCGCGCCGTCTGCTCCTCCCACCCCACCGCGGGCCGCATCATGAAAATTTAATTCCAAATGCATTTGCGGCCCGACGCGGGGAGGTAGTAGGGAAAGGATCACCCTCCTGGGGCCTGGATCTGGAGGTGGACTCAGCGCCGGGAGATGGGCTGGTCTGAGGACAGGAGCGGGGCGGGACCCTGTCTGCGGGCCCAGGACAGGGAAGGGCGGGGCTCTACCCAGCGGGGCGGGGCTGGAATTCAGGGGTGGAGACAGAGTTCGGTGGGCGGGGACAGATTCCTGGGGGTGTGGGCAGGACTGGGAGAGCAGGGACGGATCACAGGGTCAGAAGTCGGAGGGCGGGGACAGATCCCATGGGGCGGGGGCAGGACTGGTAGGGCGGGGACAGTTCCCAGGGGCGGAGGCCAGAGCTTGGTGGGCGGGGTCAGATTCCGGGGGCGGGGACAGGACTGGGAGGTCGAGGACAGATCCCAGTGGCGAGGGTCAGCAGTCGGAGGGCGGGGACAGATCCCATGGGACGAGGGCAGGGAGGGTAGGGACAGATCCAGGGGGCGGGGAGAACTGGGAGGGCGGGGACAGATCCCAGGGACGGAGTCCAGAACTCGGTGGGTGGGGACAGATTCCAGGGGGCAGAGAGAGATCCAGTGGGAAAGGGGTAGAACTCAGATAGCACGAACAGATTCCAGGGGGCAAGGACAGGACTGAGGGCGGGGACAGATCCCAGCGACAGATCCTAGGAGGAGGGGACACAACTCCAAGAATGGAGAGAGAACTCAGAGGGTGGAGGCAGAACTCAGGTCAGCGACAGATCCTAGGGGAGTAGACAAATTCAGAGGGCGGGTGAGGATGCCAGGGGGCGCGGATCACAATTTAGGGGACGGGGACAGATGTCCAGTGGGTGGAGACAGAACTCAAATAGCGGAATGGATCCCCCGGAGCTAGGGAAGAACTCAGAGCGCGGATAGATCCCAGAGGAGCGGGGAAATAACACAATGGGGAGACTATGGGGTCGCAGCTGGCACTGGTGGGGTGTGTGAAATATAACTGTGGGGGACGGAAGCCAGAGGGAAGAAAATCGGGGTTAGGGAATGAAGCTCATCGAGAGAAGCAACAGGGAGGAGAGAGGCGCCAGAGGGAGAATAGAGTTGGAGGAGTGTGGGATTCAAAGGGGAAAGATGGAAACTCAGGAGGAGATGGAGCTCAAGGGTGA